TATATAATAATATATATATTATTATAACAATATATATATATTGTTATTATTATTATTATTAATTGATGTTTTTACACAAAGACACTTTCATTCAGTCCTCACTGAGAGAGGAAGTCTTATTTTGGTAATATTCTCGTATTGGAAATTTGGGGGGATTTATTTGAGGGATTTTCAGAATAAAAGCTGCAGATTTTTAGATGATGATGGGTCAGGGTCTACCTGTCTGTAAGGTCCGCCTCCTTTCCACATGCTGGTCCAATCAAGCAGAGCCTCTGTCGATCTGGAGCAAATAAAGCATTGTTTATTTCAGTGCTATCCCTGATTGGTTGATGATCAATTGATTATTAAAGGTAATCACACCTGAGCTGTTGTCACGGCAATGCTGCTTGGAGCTGTCATGTGTTATTTTGTGAGCGTTTCTGGAGGCATAGCTTCTGAACATCCTCAGACAGATGGGACAGCTGAACCGTCCCGCCTTCTTCTTCTTCTTCTTCTGGTCTTCTTGTCCGTCCCACCTCCTCCCCCCCCTCCTCCTCCTGCGGTGCCCCCTCCAGTGGGTCTCCAGCTCCTCCCAGCTGTCACACGTCCAGCTGCAGGAGACGCAGCTGAACCCGCCGGCAGCGCAGTGAGAGCGCACGTGGACGTCCAGCAGGCGGCGGGACGGCAGGGTCAGAGGACACAGGAGACACAGCAGCCTCCTCTTCCTCTTCAGTGGGGGGGCTGCGCTGGGGGGGTCATCAGGGGGAGGGGGGGCAGGGCAGGGGGTGCTGGGAGGAGCAGGAGGTTTTGCAGTGGAGATGCGACACAGTCCCAGAGTCATAAGGTGAGCGGACTGTGCCATCTCCTCCTGGGTGGAGGGGGGGTCGATATGACCGGACAGATCTGCCCCCCCCTTCAGAGGGAAGATGGAGGCCTCCTCCTCCTCCTCCTCCCTCCTCCCCCTCCTCCCCCTCCTCAAACAGAGTGCTGACCTGATGGACAAACATCTGTGTTACTCTGAGTCCTCCCAGCATGCATTGTGTGTGTGTGTGTGTGTGTGTGTGTGTGTGTGTGTGTGTGTGTCTCACCTCACAAGTGTGTGAGACCTGAAGCCCACCCTCGCTGCTGATGTCACAGGTGGGAGGCGACATGTTTTCCAGCATGTTGTAAAGCAGGAAGTCTTCATCCTCATCGCTCTGCTTTGACCCTCCGTTCAGGTCCAGCTGATAGGGTGAAGCCCCCTGCTCAAGCTCCGCCCCCTCCCGGTGCCTGAGCAGCAGGTGGCTGCTGATGGAGGCCTTCAGGCTGCAGGTGAACTGACAGACTTTACATCGATACAGCTCCACCAGGAAGGACTCCACAAGACCCCCACCTACTCCCTCCACCTCCCCACAGTACAGGCTGGAGCTCACAGCCCCGCCCACCACCTGCAGGGTCACAGGAGTGATGTCACGGTACCGCTGCTCCACAGATGACATCACCATGACATCACCACATCATCAGAGACAAAAGAGGAGCCCCACTGAGGACAGGAGATGAGCCTCACTGAGGACAGGAGAGAGCCTCACTGAGGACAGGAGATGAGCCTCACTGAGGACAGGAGATGAGCCCCACTGAGGACAGGAGATGAGCCCCACTGAGGACAGGAGATGAGCCTCACTGAGGACAGGAGATGAGCCTCACTGAGGACAGGAGAGGAGCCTCACTGAGGACAGGAGATGAGCCTCACTGAGGACAGGAGATGAGCCTCACTGAGGACAGGAGAGGAGCCTCACTGAGGACAGGAGATGAGCCCCACTGAGGACAGGAGATGAGCCTCACTGAGGATAGAAACACCCCAGGATCAGACACCAGAGACCTGAGACTCTGCTATATTCAAGTGCTGGCTTCAAAAACCTAGAGCAGTATGTAACTCTGCCCCCCTGGTGTTTAAAATGGGTACTGCAGTCTAAATTCTAAACATCATAGAGAGCTGTCTCCCCCCCCTCCTCTCTAGAGTGGATGCTCACTCAGGTCACCATGTGGTGGACTCTGAAGCTTCAGTGTTTATCCAGCTCTGCATGGGTCTGTAAACCTTTCTGTGTTCTAACCTCTCTCCATTTTTCAAAAGCATCTCCAATATTGATCCTAGTTTGAGCACGTTTCTGCTCGTGGAGCTTATTAGAAACATGCAGAGGCTTTTTAGGTCGGGTACAATCACTTCTATCTGAACCACTTCTCTTGACCGCTTCCATCGCTGCAACACCTGTTGACCTGATAACTGCTCTCATATCTGACAAACCGAGGGGCGTCCAAAACGGCCGTGTGGGGGGGGTGTCTTAAAAGCTCCTACCTTCTCTGGTCCAAACAACTGGCTGCTGCATTGTTGTCAGAGAAGCCAGCACTTCAACATAGCATGATTCCTTAATGATCAGATAGTAAGATACCTTTGTCATCTCACTGACTGCTCCTTTAATGTCTGATCAGAGTAACTTTATCATCTCACTGACTGCTCCTTTAATGTCTGATCAGAGTAACTTTATCATCTCACTGACTGCTCCTTTAATGTCTGATCATAGAGTAACTTTATCATCTCACTGACTGCTCCTTTAATGTCTGATCAGAGTAACTTTATCATCTCACTGACTGCTCCTTTAATGTCTGATCATAGAGTAACTTTATCATCTCACTGACTGCTCCTTTAATGTCTGATCAGAGTAACTTTATCATCTCACTGACTGCTCCTTTAATGTCTGATCAGAGTAACTTTATCATCTCACTGACTGCTCCTTTAATGTCTGATCAGAGTAACTTTATCATCTCACTGACTGCTCCTTTAATGTCTGATCAGAGTAACTTTATCATCTCACTGACTGCTCCTTTAATGTCTGATCAGAGTAACTTTATCATCTCACTGACTGCTCCTTTAATGTCTGATCAGAGTAACTTTATCATCTCACTGACTGCTCCTTTAATGTCTGATCAGAGTAACTTTATCATCTCACTGACTGCTCCTTTAATGTCTGATCATAGAGTAACTTTATCATCTCACTGACTGCTCCTTTAATGTCTGATCATAGAGTAACTTTATCATCTCACTGACTGCTCCTTTAATGTCTGATCAGAGTAACTTTATCATCTCACTGACTGCTCCTTTAATGTCTGATCAGAGTAACTTTATCATCTCACTGACTGCTCCTTTAATGTCTGATCATAGAGTAACTTTATCATTTCACTAACTGCTCCTTTAATGTCTGATCAGAGTAACTTTATCATCTCACTGACTGCTCCTTTAATGTCTGATCAGAGTAACTTTATCATCTCACTGACTGCTCCTTTAATGTCTGATCAGAGTAACTTTATCATCTCACTGACTGCTCCTTTAATGTCTGATCATAGAGTAACTTTATCATCTTCACTGACTGCTCCTTTAATGTCTGATCATAGAGTAACTTTATCATCTCACTGACTGCTCCTTTAATGTCTGATCAGAGTAACTTTATCATCTCACTGACTGCTCCTTTAATGTCTGATCATAGAGTAACTTTATCATCTCACTGACTGCTCCTTTAATGTTGATCATAGAGTAACTTTATCATTTCACTGACTGCTCCTTTAATGTCTGATCAGAGTAACTTTATCATCATCACTGACTGCTCCTTTAATGTCTGATCAGAGTAACTTTATCATTCACTGACTGCTCCTTTAATGTCTGATCAGAGTAACTTTATCATTTCACTGACTGCTCCTTTAATGTCTGATCAGAGTAACTTTATCATCTCACTGACTGCTCCTTTAATGTCTGATCAGAGTAACTTTATCATCTCACTGACTGCTCCTTTAATGTCTGATCAGAGTAACTTTATCATCTCACTGACTGCTCCTTTAATGTCTGATCATAGAGTAACTTTATCATCTCACTGACTGCTCCTTTAATGTCTGATCAGAGTAACTTTATCATCTCACTGACTGCTCCTTTAATGTCTGATCATAGAGTAACTTTATCATCTCACTGACTGCTCCTTTAATGTCTGATCAGAGTAACTTTATCATCTCACTGACTGCTCCTTTAATGTCTGATCAGAGTAACTTTATCATCTCACTGACTGCTCCTTTAATGTCTGATCAGAGTAACTTTATCATCTCACTGACTGCTCCTTTAATGTCTGATCAGAGTAACTTTATCATCTCACTGACTGCTCCTTTAATGTCTGATCAGAGTAACTTTATCATCTCACTGACTGCTCCTTTAATGTCTGATCAGGAGTAACTTTATCATCTCACTGACTGCTCCTTTAATGTCTGATCAGAGAAACTTTATCATCTCACTGACTGCTCCTTTAATGTCTGATCAGAGTAACTTTATCATCTCACTGACTGCTCCTTTAATGTCTGATCAAGAGTAACTTTATCATCTCACTGACTGCTCCTTAATGTCTGATCAGAGTAACTTTATCATCTCACTGACTGCTCCTTTAATGTCTGATCAGAGTAACTTTATCATTCTCACTGACTGCTCCTTTAATGTCTGATCATAGAGTAACTTTATCATCTCACTGACTGCTCCTTTAATGTCTGATCAGAGTAACTTTATCATCTCACTGACTGCTCCTTTAATGTCTGATCAGAGTAACTTTCATTTCACTCAACTTGCTCCTTTAATGTCTGATCAGAGTAAACTTTATCATCTCACTGACTGCTCCTTTAATGTCTGATCATAGAGTAACTTTATCATCTCACTGACTGCTCCTTTAATCTGATCATAGAGTAACTTTATCATCTCACTGACTGCTCCTTTAATGTCTGATCAGAGTAAACTTTATCATCTCACTGACTGCTCCTTTAATGTCTGATCAGAGTAACTTTATCATCTTCACTGACTGCTCCTTTAATGTCTGATCAGAGTAACTTTATCATCTCACTGACTGCTCCTTTAATGTCTGATCAAGAGTAACTTTATCATCTCACTGACTGCTCCTTTAATGTCTGATCAAGAGTAACTTTATCATCTCACTGACTGCTCCTTTAATGTCTGATCAGAGAGTAACTTTATCCATTTCACTAACTGCTCCTTTAATGTCTGATCAGAGTAACTTTATCATCTCACTGACTGCTCCTTTAATGTGCTGATCAGAGTAACTTTATCATCTCACTGACTGCTCCTTTAATGTCTGATCAGAGTAACTTTATCATCTCACTGACTGCTCCTTTAATGTCTGATCATAGAGTAACTTTATCATCTCACTGACTGCTCCTTTAATGTCTGATCAGAGTAACTTTATCATCTCACTGACTGCTCCTTTAATGTCTGATCATAGAGTAACTTTATCATCTCACTGACTGCTCCTTTAATGTCTGATCATAGAGTAACTTTATCATCTCACTGACTGCTCCTTTAATGTCTGATCATAGAGTAACTTTATCATTTCACTAACTGCTCCTTTAATGTCTGATCATAGAGTAACTTTATCATCTCACTGATGCTGCTCCTTTAATGTCTGATCAGAGTAACTTTATCATCTCACTGACTGCTCCTTAATGTCTGATCATAGAGTAACTTTATCATCTCACTGACTGCTCCTTTAATGTCTGATCAGAGTAACTTTATCATCTCACTGACTGCTCCTTTAATGTCTGATCATAGAGTAACTTTATCATTTCACTGACTGCTCCTTTAATGTCTGATCAGAGTAACTTTATCATCTCACTGACTGCTCCTTTAATGTCTGATCAGAGTAACTTTATCATCTCACTGACTGCTCCTTTAATGTCTGATCAGAGTAACTTTATCATCTCACTGACTGCTCCTTTAATGTCTGATCATAGAGTAACTTTATCATCTCACTGACTGCTCCTTAATGTCTGATCAGAGTAACTTTATCATCTTTCACTGACTGCTCCTTTAATGTCTGATCAGAGTAACTTTATCATCTCACTGACTGCTCCTTTAATGTCTGCATCAGAGTAACTTTATCATCTCACTGACTGCTCCTTTAATGTCTGATCAGAGTAACTTTATCATCTCACTGACTGCTCCTTAATGTCTGATCAGAGTAACTTTATCATCTCACTGACTGCTCCTTTAATGTCTGATCAGAGTAACTTATCATCTCACTGACTGCTCCTTTAATGTCTGATCAGAGTAACTTTATCATCTCACTGACTGCTCCTTTAATGTCTGATCATAGAGTAACTTTATCATCTCTCACTGACTGCTCCTTTAATGTCTGATCAGAGTAACTTTATCATCTCACTGACTGCTCCTTTAATGTCTAATGATCAAGAGTAACTTTATCATCTCACTGACTGCTCCTTTAATGCTGATCATAGAGTAACTTTATCATCTCACTGACTGCTCCTTTAATGTCTGATCAGAGTAACTTTATCATCTCACTGACTGCTCCTTTAATGTCTGATCAGAG